CATGGCCAACCCCATCACCCCACTCCGTCTTGACGCCTATGGCTCTAGCTCCAACTTCAAGACATGGAGCTATGGGGTTGACAAGCACCTGCTGAGCCGTGACGTGCAGGGATTGGACCTCAAGGATGTCCTCCTCAACCGTGGCAAGGGAAAACAGCCCCTTCTCCCTCGCGAGCCGACCGTATCCGCTAGTGAGGCTGACACAAAGGCATATGAGGAAGCCGTTGAGAAGTACCGGAAGTGGGAGAAGGCTGATGCTGCAATTATCAGCGTCTTCATCGCCTCCACCCTTCCAGAACTTGTCAACGCGTTCCATAACTACCCTACCTCCAACGCCAACTGGAAGTATCTCCAGGATCGGTTTATGAACAAGACTGCAGTCGGAGTTGCCATCCTCATCCCCGGCATGTTCCACGTACGCCTTGAGGATTGCTCGGGAATGGCCGACTACATTGCCAAGGTTCAGACCATTCATGGCGAACTCAAGGAGCTGGGTATAGTCTTCCCCAAACAGGCCCCTGCAGCAGCTCTTCTCGTTGGTCTCACCACAACCTATGAAATCACAAGGAAGATGCTCCTCACGCTGACTGCGGAAGACCACACTTTTGCCAAGGTCTCCACCGCACTCCTCTCTGCCGAGAAAGACTCCACGGCTCAGGCCAAGGCTTAGGCCATCCGTGCTCCCATGCCTCAAGCCAGTGTCGCATCGACCCTTCCCTCGGCGCCCCTCCAGCGCAACCGCTTCTCACCGTGCACCTATGTCGTCAAGTATGGCAACCGCAAGGGACACGTGTGTGGTGGCACTAACCACCCCCTTGCTACGTGCTTCAAGAAGAAGGACGACGAATGGTACGCCATCCACGGCATAGACAAGAGGCCACCGAACTTGATGCGTGCACGCAAGGCCAACCTGGTTGAGGTCCAGGACCCCGCTTCGACTAGTGCTAGTGATAGTGCTCCTGCTGATGCCCGTATCAACCTGTTGTTCCCTGGCACTGCCATGATTAATGAAGCTTCCTCCCAGTACCTCGGCTCATCACAAGCACCACAATACATAGAGTTCACACTCGACAGCGGGGCCACACACACTGTACTCAAGGAGACACTCTCCTTCAAACCCTACGCAACACCCATCCCTCTCCTAGGAGCTGACTCAAGCTTCACCACTCATGCCAAGGGTTCATCCACAGTCCCGTGCCCCGCCTTCCCTTCCGGCACTGTCACTGGAATGTGCGTGCCTTCACTCCGCCACAATTTCGTGGCCCAAACGGAAATTCAGGAAGCTGAACTACGCACCATCTTCTGGGAGAACGAGAACTATGGTGATATCCTCGACCCACTCACCAACAAGGTCTTGACTCGTTTCACCCTCAACAGCAGCGGCCTTTACACGCTGCAAGTACCCATCCCACAGGTGTCAACCACCCAAACAGCGACGACTACCTCACCATGCTCGTGCCGCAGTTTCTCCAACCCGACCATACTCTACCACCATCGGCTCGGGCACCCAAACTTCCGCACACTTGCTGACATGGCCTCCAAGAAACTTCTACTCGGCCTGCCAGCCTCACTTCCTCCACCACCAGACTCCCCCGCTCCCACGTGCCTTGACTGCACCAAGAGCAAATTGCGTCAACAGCCCCACCCGGCCTCACCCTCTGTCGCAGCAGGACCACTGGACCTGGTACACCTGGACGTCTGGGGCCCTGCCCCTGTTCCCGCACGAGGTGGTTATCGCTACTTCCTTGTTATCGTCGATGATCAGTCTCGCTACGTCTCTGTTGACCTCCTCCACACTAAGGCTGCGGTTCCAGAGGTCCTCATGGCGTGGGTTAAACAGGCACAGACCGCCTTTGACCGCAAAGTCAAGCGCCTCCACCCAGATGGTGGTGGTGAGTTTTGTAACGACAAGCTCAAAGCCTTCTGCTCTTCAGAAGGCATCCAGCAAAAATTCACCCTCCCTGATAGCCCGCAGCAGAACGGCATAGCTGAGAGCCGCAACCACACCCTGGTGCAGATCACTCGGTGCCTCCTCAGCCACTCCAACGCTCCACACTCTCTCTGGGGGTACGCTCTCTACCACGCCGCCCTCCTCTACAACCTTTACCCCCACCCGCATCTTCCCGACACCACTCCAACCACACTCTGGCTCGGGAAAACGCCCACTCCTCGCTCTCTTCGCGTTTGGGGGTGCACCGCCTATGTCCTCCTCAACCCTCAGGCTCGATGGCAGCACGGCGGCAAGCTCGGTCCCAAGACCCAGACATGCATCTACCTCGGACACAACGCCGACTCGCCTGACTACCTATTCCTCAATCCCTCCACTCAGCAGTTGGTCCGGAGCCGCGACGATGTCTTTGATGAGACCCGCCCATTCTACTCCACTTCGGGACGGGACCCTCTCCCTGACCCACCCTCCCTCGTGTGGGCAGACTTTGATGCGCCTCCTGACCTCTCGCCTGCTCCGGCCCCTTCACCCCCTACCCCTCCTGCCACCGCACCATCCCCCTCTGCGGTCTCTGACCCGCCCTCACCGGTGTCTTCGACAGCTGCTCCTCCATCCCCCTCACTTCCCACTCCGCCGACTATGCAGCCACCTCCGAGCGCACCTATCACCTACCATCGGCGGTCCCACCCTCCGGCCCCACCTCCTCCCCCGGTTCCCCCCACCACAGAGGAACCCGCTCTCCCACAGTCGCCCGAGCTGATCACATACCACCGGCGGCCCATTCCCCCGCCCAAGCCTCCTAAGTCAACCCCTCCGACGCCGCCTGCCCCACCCTCTTCTCCGGTGGCTCATGGCACTCGTTCGCATGGCGCGGCTCTTCCACTAGCGCTGGTTCTTCAATACACGGCGATCACACCGCCTCCTCCTGCTGAGGGAATGTGCCCTCTACCCTTCTGGAAGACAGGCATGAGGAGCTGTGTGATCTTCATGCAGTCATTCCTCAGCTCTCGCACATCTTCCCCGACATCACTGACTCACCCTCCCTCAACTTCGCGGAGAACCCGACCATCCCTATCCCTCTCACCGTCCAAGAGGCTTTCTCAGGCCCTCATGCTGCCGAATGGCGTGATGCCATGGAAGCGGAGATTGCAGCATTCACCCGCAACCACTCCTTCGACAACGAGACACCACCTCCAAGAGTCAACATCGTCGGGGGCAAGTGGTTGTTCCGTGTAAAACAGCTCCCAGACGAGGCCCTGGTGTTCAAAGCGCGTTACGTAGCCAAGGGCTTCACCCAGCAGCAGTACCGCGACTTCTTCCTAACCTTCTCCCCCACATCCAGACCTCCCACCATTCATACGCTCATGGATGTCGCAGCTCGAGAAGACTTTGAGATCAAATCCATGGATGCCTCATCCGCCTTCCTACAAGAACGTCTCAAGGAGACGGTGTTCATGGACAGACCAGAAGGCTTCCCAGGAGAATTCCCTCCCAACACTGTCTGGAAGCTGAATCGCCCCGTCTACGGCCCTAAGCAAGCCCCTCGCGAATGGCACAACAAGGTGAAAGAAGTCCTCCTCTCCCTGGACTTCCACCCTTCAACTGCTGACCCGACTCTCTTCATCCGCCGTCATTCTGAGCCATTCTACATCCTGGTCTACGTGGATGATTTCATCCTCGTTGCCAAGGACTCGGCCCACATGACCTTAGTCCAGGCAGCCCTGAGCAAGGCTCTCCAGATGAAAGACCTCGGTGACCTCAAGCACTACCTGGGGATGGAGATCACTCGTGATCGCCAGGCTCGCACCATTTCACTCTCCCAAGAGTTCTACATCGACAATGTGCTCAAGCGGTTTGAGATGGAGCTGTGCACACCTGTTGCCACCCCGTTGCCGCTGCAACACCTCTTCACTGCTCCAGCTGTACCCACACCAGAGGCCTGCTCTGAGCCATACCCGGAGCTTGTTGGGTCCCTCATGTACGCCATGATGTGCACCCGACCGAACTTGGCCTATCCTGTCAGTGTCATCTCTCGCTACGTGGCCCCTCGACGCTTCACTGATCTTCACTGGAAGGCGGCGAAGCGGGTGCTGCGCTATCTTCAGGGCACCCTCACGTTCTCACACTCGGTGGGCTCTCCCCTCCTCGCCTGGAAGGTTACACTGACTCCTCCTGGGCTGATGACCAGACCGACTGACACTCCTCTCAGGGGTAATGCTTCACCCTTGGGAGCGGAATTGTCAGTTGGCGCTCCACCAGGTCGTCTGCAGTCTCCCTCTCCTTCTGTGAGGCAGAGCTCTACGCAGGCACCATGGCTGCTCAGGAGGCCCGTTGGCTCACCTTCCTACTCCAGGAGCTTGGTTTCCCACAGTCCGCCCCCACCCTCTGGTGTGACAACCAGAGTACCATCCACATCTCTCAAGACCCTGTGTATCACACCCGCACCAAGCATATTGAACTTCGGCACTCCTTCATCCGTGACCTTGTCCAACAGGAGCAGCTGAAAGTGGAATACGTTGCATCTGACTGCAACCTGGCTGATCTGTTCACCAAGCCCCTTGGGAAAGTTCCCCACCACCGTCTCCTAGGCGCCATGGGGCTCTGTGCACCACCCTCTCTACCATGCGTTCGATTGACGCCTATGGGGGGGTGTTAGTGTTAGCCTTCAATCTCACACTTTGTACTTCATATTTTCTATATCCTAGAGAAGTGTAGTTTGCACATTGTGTTTGGTTGGGTGTACACCTACATCCCAACCAAACCCAAATGTAATCTCCAAGCAATCTCCAACCCACCAATTGGAGATTGCCTTGGGATTACCCCCAATCCCTATGGATTGTCCCCGATTCCCCTCCCCATCCATTCCCTCCCCTTCTTGGATGTACTTAAAGAGCTTCAAGCTCATTACTAATGTATCGCTTCTAAGCCTAAGTTATGAGACTGACATGGTGTTGCAATGGACTGCAGTGGTGAAGATAGACACCCCCCTTGTATGGTGTGGGTGTGGGGAGAGATCTTCACAGCTGCAGCCTAATTGCAAGGCGTTTCGGAGTTATTTTTGCTGTGAAGAGACCCACCCACCTGGACCAGGGACCGTGGTGGTGGTGAGTATGACGCACGTCGACCCGTTACCACTGTCAAACACACTGTACCCCACGTCACACTGGCACGAGAAGTTGGCAGTTGAGCCCTGAGAAGAGTCCCCTCCCTGGGGGGGCGGCACACAGGCCCCATGGCCGTCACAGGGGCCGTTGTCCGTGATGCTGCAGAACGCCCTGCATGCCGCTGGCGTGCGCTGGGAGAATGTGGGTGAGGTGGAGGAGGAGGATGGGGAGGAGGAGGAAATGGAGGAGGAAGTGGAGGAGTTGGGAGGGGTGTTGGGGTTGGAGTAGGGAGTGGCGGGGCAGGAGAGGGGGGCGGTGGGCTGGAAGCAGTTGTTTGCCAGGCTGGCCTGCCCCCTCTCGTACTGCCGTGCCACCACCAGTGGTGCTCTGGTGGAGCAGCAGTGGGATGGGCGGACGGCGAAAATGGGTGGGAGGGCGGAGGGAGGGAAGGAGGGCGGGAAGGAGGGAATGGTGGGAGGAAGTAGGGGGATGACTCAGGTATTGCGTGAGCCAAAAGCACCCGCCACAGAAAGCATCTAGCTTTAGAAGCACCCATTATGGGAGGCACCCACTTAAGGAAACACCCACCCACCTGCCCGCCTCTGACTGCACGACGCAGTTCCCTCCGGCTTGTACGCTCAGATCCCCGGGCTCCACCACGCTCTCCGCCGCGATTTCTGACGGGCAGAACTGGCAGCCACTGGCGAAGAGCACGGGGTCGCCGTAGAAGAAGTTGTGGGCGAGGTTGAGGAGGGCCCCTGCTGTGGGCACTATGCCCTCGAAGTTGCGGTTGATTCGCCCGTAGAAGCTGTTGTGACTCACGTCCCTGTAGGGGGTGGTGAGGGTATTGGTTATGGGTGAAATCTGGAATTTAAACCATCAATCTGGAGAAGAAAGGAAACCGTTCTTGGGGAATTCAAACAGAGGCTTACAGAACAAGTCGAGGGATGGGGGAGCGTTTTCTCAAGCATCTCAGAAACAGGCTCACAGAACAAGTCGAGGGATGGGGGAGCGTTTTCTCAAGCATCTCAGAAACAGGCTCACAGAACAAGTCGAGGGATGGGGGAGCGTTTTCTCAAGCATCTCAGAAACAGGCTCACAGAACAAGTCGAGGGATGGGGGAGCGTTTTCTCAAGCATCTCAGAAACAGGCTCACAGAACAAGTCGAGGGATGGGGGAGCGTTTTCTCAAGCATCTCAGAAACAGGCTCACAGAACAAGTCGAGGGATGGGGGAGCGTTTTCTCAAGCATCTCAGAAACAGGCTCACAGAACAAGTCGAGGGATGGGGGAGCGTTTTCTCAAGCATCTCAGAAACAGGCTCACAGAACAAGTCGAGGGATGGGGGAGCGTTTTCTCAAGCATCTCAGAAACAGGCTCACAGAACAAGTCGAGGGATAAGGGAGCGTTTTCTCAAGCATCTAAGAAACAGGCTCACAGAACAAAGTGGGGGGTGAGGGAAGCGAACGGACAGTCTGTTGAGGCAGGGGAAGGCCCTGAAGAGACAATCGGGGATGGGGCCGTAAAAGCTGTTGCTGCTCAGGTACCTGGTAGGGCGGGGGGCACAAAATGCGTTAGTGGTGGCAATGAGTGGCGCAATGAGGGAATGGGTGAGGGACGTGAACTGATGAGAGAACATGGAGGGCAGACAGAGCGGATGAGTGAGTGGGTTCAAGGGGGGTGAAAGGGTGAGTGATGCTGATGACTTACAGGATTTCTAAACGGGACAGGTTACAGAAGGAGGACGGAAGCTTCCCTGTGAGATTATTGTGACTCAACCAGCTGCAAGCAGCAGCAGCACGATTGGAGCAGTCGCATAGGAAAGCGCGAGTATGACGACCAACCGATGTGAATATACACATACACGGGAGAATTTGACTGGCAGGATGATTGTACCAGATGTGATTATACCAGACAAGTGTTGAGAATGCGAAGGAAGCAGACTATGAACTAACGAGTGAGAAGAGTTTGACAACCGGGTGCACATCTCACAGGTGGCGCAGGGAAGAGAGTTGGCCCAGGCTGTCTGGGAGGGTGCCCTGAATGCTGTTGCGTGCCAGCAGCCTGGTGGGCAGGGCCCCACGGGTAGGGTGGTGAGGGAAACGGTGAGTGAGTGAAGGGAACAAGCCATGGTGCAGGGGTATGGTGGCATGGCACGATGTGGGGATCCTGGGCGACCCCTAGGAATAATATATAATATATAATAATATATAATAATATATAATAATATATAATAATATATAATAATATATAATAATATATAATAATATATAATAATATATAATAATATATAATAATATATAATAATATATAATAATATATAATTCTATATATTGTTCTATAACTGCCTGTAGTGTAGAATACTGTAGTCATATAACTTTCTGTTTGGTGGTGCACCTTTCTTTCCTATTTGTACTGCTCGTTCTATAGTGAACAACACTCTTTTGGCCAAACTCTCTCGACATTGCAGCTTCACCCCAAAACCGTAGTCCTGAGTTATCTTAGGCTTCTAACATTCCACCTCTGCTCTTTCTCCAATCTAGCTTCCGCAACGCCGGCATCATGCCGCTCTAGCACCTTCCTCGCTGTCCCCCTCCGTATGATGTGGAGTTGTCTCACTATGGAGGTGTGTCGGTCGCAACGCATCCTCGCGACATTCCTTTTTTTACCAGTCAAGTGTGTTCTGTGTCAAACTATATATATGCTATGGTATAATGGGTAAGCTATAGTGGGGTGGCCAACATGGGGTACAACCCCTTTAGGTTTTGTACTTGTCTCGATAGTTTACACCATTCCTGCTTGTTAATTTCAAACATGGTTTCAGAGCAGTAGGTCCGTAGGACATTTTTTTTTTTCGGGCCCACCATTACCTAGTGATCGACTACGGTTACCCCGTTACCCCACGCCCTGCCCTGCGCTGCGCTGTTAGCGCGCGCCCTGCCCTGCCCTGCCCTGCGCGTGCCAGCGCCCTGCCTTGCGCCAACGCCCTGCCCTGCGCCAGCGCCCTGCCCTGCGCCAGCGCCCTGCTTTGCGCCAGCGCCCTGCCCTGCGTCCTGCTGCAGCTTGCGCCTTGCGGTAGCTGCACGTCGCGCCCTGCGGTAGCTGCACGTCGCGCCCTGCTGCCCTGCGCGTCGCGCCCTACGGCAGCCTGCGCGTCGCGCCCTACGGCACCCTACACATCGCGCTCTGCTGCCCCGCGCATCACGCTCTACGGCAGCCCGCGCGTCGCGCGCTGCTGCCCCGCGCGTCGTGCTCTGCTGCCCCGCGCGTCGCGCCCTACGGCAGCCCGCGCGTCACGCACTGCTGCCCCGCGCGTCGCGCTCTGCTGCAGCCCGCGCGTCGCGCTCTGCTGCCCGCGCGTCGCGCCCTGCTGCCCTGCGCGTCGCGCCCTGCTATAGCCAGCGCGGCGTGCCCTACTGCCCTCCACAGCGCCCGCCCTGCTATCCGCGCCGCCCAGGCCGAGCCGCGCCACCCGACACGATCCGCCCTTCTGCTTGTGCTACAGCTGCTGCTGGTGGAGGTGCTGCTAGGAGTGCTGGATGTGCTGCAACCTAGCCTCACGAGCCGCTCTGCTGTTCGTCTTACTGCTGCTGCTACTCGTACTACTGCCTTTACTCCGTACTGCCCTAGAAGTCGCGCTCCTCCTAGCTTGCCCGCCATGACTTCACTTTGTAGTCGCGGTGGGAGTGGTGACGGCGGTGGTGGCAGTAGTGGGAGTCGTAGCGGCCGTAGTAGCAGTCACTGTGGAGCTGTGTGGTGTGGAGTCTCTGACGGTGGCCAGATGCAGCTACGGCGACGTCCGACCCTTACGCCCCAGCAGCTTCGTGAGTGGCTTTACCAGCGTGGGACGTCTCCGAGTCCTGGTCGTTGTCCATACATCATTTGCGTAGGCCGTCGAGCTGGTCAGATTTGTGGGACACCTGGTCACGCACAGTCCCGCTGCTTTGCCTACTTGAGTGACACCTGGCACGCAGAGTTTGGCGACGAGGCTGAGACCCCCCACCGGCTTGAGCTGCTTAGGTCGGGCGTTGATGTCTTTGCTTTAGAGTATGACGCCATCCTTACTGCCATGTCTGCTTTGCTTGGTGGTGTTGAGAGTGACTGTTACCTGTGTGTGCTTTGCTTGCTGGTCTAGGTGCTAGTGAGGCTGCTGCCTTAGGTGCTGGTAAGTCTGCTCTCTAAGGTACTGCGCCTCCTGAGGCCTTGTACACCTTCACGCTTGACTCAGGTGCTTCCCGCTGCTTCTTCCGTGACAGTACCGCACTCACACCACTCCCTGCACCTGATGCAGTCTCTTTGGCTGAACCCTCAGGGGGCCCAGTTCTTGCGCGGTCCACCACTGTGCTTGCGTGCCCGGCGGTTTCGTCTGGCTCACTGTCAGGTCTCCACCTTCACTCGTTCTCGACGAACTTGGTGAGCAGCGCCGTCCTCCAGGATCATTCGGTTGACACCTTTACCCCTGGAGGACAACGTTTGGCGATCTGTACGTGCTCTAGGAATGGCCGTCACCTGGCCACGTTCACCCGTCGGCCAGGGTCGAGTCTTTACACACTGACGACTGTGTCTCCTCAGTTAGCTGCTGTCGGTCAGGTGTTCGCGTCAGGTCTAGTAGCCTCCCCCTGAGAGTGTCATTCCTTGTCGCACCAGACTCTTCTTTGGCACCACCGCCTGGGTCACCCTTGCTTGCCACGTCTCCGTAGCATGCACCGTCGCCTCCTTGTGTCTAGTCTTCCCAGGTCTCTCCCTCCCCTCCCTGCCTCGCCTGCACTACCCTGCCTTCCTTGCATCGAGGGGCGGCAGCGCGCCGCTCCTCACTCCTCTTTTCCCCCGACAAAGGCTCCTCTGCAGACCCTCCACCGGGACGTGTGGGGCCCAGCCCGCGTTCGTGGACAGGGCGGTGAACGGTACTTTCTGCTGGTTGTCGACGACTATTCGCGGTACACCATGGTCTTCCCCTTGCGCATCAAGGGTGAGGTCCCTGCTGTCCTGATCCCTTGGATCCGAGCAGTTCATCTCCAGCTCCGTCGCAGATTCCGCCAGGACCTTCTTGTCCTACGTCTGCACTCTGACAGAGGTGGTGAGTTCACCTTCGACCTCTTGCGGGCCTTCTGTCAGGTGGAGAGCATCGAACAGTCGTTCACGCTTCCGAGCTCACCGCAGCAAAATGGAGTTTCTGAGCCCTGCATTGGCTTAGTCATGGAGGTCGCTCGTACCTCCTTGATCCATGCGGCGGCTCCCCATTTTCTGTTGTCGTTTGCGGTCCGGTAAGCCGCGCAGCAGCTCAACCTCTGGGCCCGGGTCTCCTTGCCGGAGACCTCGCCCACACTGCGTTGGACGGAGGAGGTTGGCGATGCGTCGCGTTTCAGGGTCTGGGGTGCTCGTGCCTTTGTCCGCGAAACGTCCGCGGACAAGCTCTCCTCCGCACCATTCCCTATGTCTTCCTTGGCTTTGTCCCTGACGCGCCTGGCTGGCAGTTTTACCACCCCACCTCGCGCCGTGTCATCCCCTCTCAGGACGTCACCTTTAACGAGTCGATTCCTTTCTACCGTCTCTTCCCCTACCGCACTGCCCCTCTCCTTCCCCCCGCCGTTTTTCCTCGCTCCAGGTCCTCCTCCAGTAGACCCCCTTCCGCCTCAGGGTCCTACTCCTCCAGGTGTGTCTCAGGTAGACCCGCCCCCCATGGCTCAGCCTGTAGAGGTCACTAGCGACTCAGGTGCTGCTGCGGGAGGTGCTGCTGGGGGTGCTGCGTCTGGGGGTGCTGAGCCTGCGCATGAGGTGCTGGGGAGTGAAGAGCTTGGGGGTGCTGAGCCTACAGCTGCGGAGTCTGGGGGTGCTGAGCCGAAGGATGCCGGGTTGGGGGGTGCTGAGTCTGCTGGCGTTCCTCTGGGTCTCGTTTCACGACGCAGGCTTGTCTCAACACAGCAGGCACGAGATTGGCTTGCGTCGCGTACCCGTCTGAGGAGTCGTGCTGCTAGAGCTGCTTGTCGTGGAGGCGCTGGGAGTGCTGGTGTCTCTGGTCCTGGAGGTGCTCGTACTGGAGGTACTCGAGCTGCCGGGACTAGTACTGCTCCTCGAGCCGGTGGTGTCGGCTCTGGGGGCGCTGCTGCTGGAGGTACTGGGGCTGGAGGCCCTAGAGCTGGTGCTGTCGACCCTGGCGTTGGAGACCCTGGAGCTGGAGGTGCCGGTTCTGAGGGTGCTACTGCTGGAGGCCCTTGAGCTGGTACTGTTGACTGTGGAGTTGGGGACCCTGGGGCTAGAGGTGCCGGTTCTGGGGGTGCTGCTACTAGTGGCGCTGGAGCTGGAGGTTCTAGAGCTGCTGGAGGCGCCGGAGCTAGAGGTGCTGCTGCTGGAGGCACTAGAGCTGGAGGTTCTGGAGCTGCTGGAGGCGCTGGAGTTGGAGGTGCTGCTGCTGGAGTCACTGGAGCTGGAGGTGCTGCTGCTGGAGGCCCGGGGCTGGAGGTTCTGGAGCTGGTGGAGGTGCTGGAGCTACTGGTACTACTGGCACTGCACCGCCGCGACTATTTTTCGTTCCGCCGTCACAGTTGTCTCTGCCACCGCCTGACTCTGTGCTTCGCCAGGTTCTTAGCCTCCCGTCTTCTACTGGCCTCCCGTTACAGCCCGGCGCACCACTGCCTACTCCTTCTCCTTACACTAAGCAGACAGACTTGCTTACAGAGCGTCGTGAGTCTGCGTCTCGTCTTGCCTCGCTTGTTCGCGCGCATCGCACTGGTAGTCGTGTTCCTCGTGAGCGTCCGCCTCCTGTCCCTGGCACACACGCTATGGCACTCCGTCCTTCCTCTGTTCCACAGCGTGTTCCCCTACCGTCTCCTCCTGCGCTTTCTCTGCCTGATGTTCAAGACCCTGAGTCTGACCTGGTTCGTGCTGCTCACCCTACTGTCACGCGTCTGCTGCTAGCCACTGTTCTCACTGGCCCGTCGTTTGAGTCTGCTGCTGCGTCTGCCTTAGTCTCTAAACCTGTTGACTTTGCTGCTGCCTGTCGTCTAGACTTCGCTGCTGGTCTTGTTGCTGAGTCTAAATCTGTCTATCCTCTGTCCGTCGGGGGTGAGTGTGCTCTTGGCACGGACGTCCTAAACGACAGGCAGGAGGACTTTGAGTGTCTTGCAGCCATTGCGCATCATCTCGTGGCCATGCTGCTTGCCTCTGAGGGAGATCCTGATGCTCCAAACATCCCGACCCCGCGCTCTTACGTTGAGGCGATCGTGGGTGAGTACTTCTCTCAGTGGCAGATAGCCATGGACGCAGAGATGGCATCCTCGAAGTCCACAGGCACCTACGCCGACGCAGTTCCCCCTCCAAGGGCGAACGTAGTCAATGGCAAGTGGATATTTAGAGTGAAGCGACCGCCAGGTTCTCCGCCTGTCTTCAAGGCTCAATACATTGCACAAGGCTTTAGTCAGCGATAGAAAGTTGACTTCTTCCAGACCTTCTCTCCCACCTCGAAGATGGCCACTCTTTGGGTGCTGCTGCACGTTGCCGCTTAGCGTGACTACGAGCTTCACTCTTTGGACTTCAGCACAGCGTTCTTACAGGGCAGTTTGCACGAGGAGATCTGGCTGCGCCGCCCACCTGGCTTCACTGGGTCGTTCCCTCCTGGAACCCAATGGAGCCTCCGCCGGCCAGTCTACGGTCACCGTCAGGCGCCTCGTGAGTGGCACGACACATTGAGGACGACACTTGCGGCTCCTGGGTTTGCACCTTCCACTGCTGACCCGTCGCTGTTTCTACGCACCGACACTTCGTTGCCGCCGTTCTACATCCTCATGTACGTCGACAACTTGGTCTGTGAAAATGCTGACACTGAGGCTCTCGCCCTTGTGAAGTCGGATATGCAGAAGAGACCCACGTGCACAGACCTGGATGAGCTGCGCAGCTACCTTGGCCTGCAGATCACCCGGGACAGAGCACGGCGCACCATCACACTGACTCAGTCGCACATGGTGCAGCAGGTCCTTCAGCACTTCGGCTTCACTTGGTCCTCGCCACCGTCCATTCCCCTGGCTATAGGTCACTCACTCTCAGCTCCAGCTTCGGCAAGTCCGTAGAGCCGAGTGGTCCGTACCCAGAGCTAGTGGGCTACCTCATGTACCTGATATCCTGCACTCGTCCTGACCTTGCGTACCCTCTTGGCCTCCTGGCATGCTACGTGGCTCCTGGTAGGCACCGAAAGGTAGACTTCGATGCTGCGAAGAGGGTACTGCGCTACTTGTGCAGTACATCAGGCATGGGGCTCGTGCTTGGAGAGCGGAGCTCAGTTGTCCTCACTGGGCACTCAGACGCTTCTTGGGTTGACAAGCTGGCTACGCAGCGGTCGTCACAAGGTTACACGTTCAGCCTTGACTCTGGCTCTGTTTCTTGGCGGTCTACCCGCTCGTCTTTTATTCTCAGCTCCAGTTGTGAGGCTGAGATCTACGCCACAGCCATGGCTGCACAAGAGTTACGCTGGCTGACCTACCTGCTAACCGACTTGGGAGAGAGGCCTTGTTCTCCTCCAACTCTGTACGTCGACAACAAGGCTGCCATTGCCTTGTATTAGGACCACAGACTGGAGCACAGAACGAAGCACATCGCTCTGCGTTATTTCCTTGCTCGAGAGTTGCAGCAGCGTGGTCAGCTTCGTGTCGCCCACGTGCCCACCCTGGCGAACATGGCTGATGTGTTCACCAAGGCCTTTCCGGCTGGTGATCATCAGCGCTTCTGCACTGCTCTAGGCCTGGTGCCTACGTTTCCTCACTTGCTGTAGATTTTGGTTGTACTGTGATCTATATATATCTACCTGCATGTTTACTCTTGCTAGGTAGTGATCACTGTACTGTTGTTGTTGCATATATACCTCTGCGAGTCTGGGCAAGTAGTATTGCATGGATGTGGGCAGTGGGACGGGTCAGTGCGTCGGCGATGTTCGAGGCTCCCTTTGTGTAGGTGACCGTATAGTGAAAATTGGACTCGAGAAAATCGAGCCAACGAATCTGTCGTGGGTTGAAGTGTGGCTGTGCGCGGAGGTACTGTAGTGATTTATGGTCTGTCCGTACTGTCACGTCTGCGCCGGTCAAGTAACAGCGCCACGCTTCGAACGCGTGCACGATCGCAAGCATTTCGCGGTCGTGTATCGGGTAATTTTTCTCGGGCGGATGCAATTTTCGTGACTCGTATGCGATGGGCTGTAGGCCGTTGCCGATGTCCTGTAGTAGTACGGCTCCGATGGCGATGTCGCTTGCGTCGGTAACTATTTCGAATGGGCGGTGTGGGTCAGCGATGCGCAGGACGGGTGGTGAACAGAGAACATTTTTCAGGGCAGAGAAGGTAGCATGCTCTTTCTCCCCCCACGTAAAAGCGACCCCCTTCCGTAACAAATCCGTCAGCGGCGCTGTTAACCGTGCCATGTCGGGGACGAACCGACGCACGTAATTGACGAACCCCAAAAAGCTCTGTTGTTCCGTGATATTTGTGGGGGGGTGCCAGGCTTTCACTGTGTCTAACTTCTTTGGGTCAATTTCGACCCCAGCCTCCGAAATAACGTGCCCCAAAAACTCTAGCCGGTCTTGAATAATATGTAATATATAATAATATAATGGCCCACATCCCCAGGATGAATGGGGGAAATGTGAAAAGTGTTGGCTTCACTCTTGTGCGTGTGTTCCATGGCTTTGCCATGTCCCAGGAGGGAGGGCTCACAGGGACTCGAGGGAGGTGATGGAGAGCAGGCTGGTTGGGAAGGGCCCATCCAACTGGTTGCTGTGTTTTGAAGCACCTCAAAAACAACTTTTGAGGAGCCTCAAAAACAGTGCATTGCGTGCTAGCACGGTTTCACTGCTTGCACTAGTCCCAGGCAGGTGGGCTCACAGGGAGTCTAATTTTGAGGCGCCTCAAAAGTAGGGTGCGCTCACAAGGACTCGAGGGAGGTGATGGAGAGGAGGCTGGTTGGGAAGGGTCCATCCAACTGATTGTTGTGCAGGCTACTGCACATGCCACCGCACAACCAATAGCACAAGCCACAGCACATGGCACAAGACGTGTAGAAAGATTTTCAAACAACATGCCACACGTGTCAATCAAAGGGTAAGCCACGTGTGCCAAGACTACCCTATAGGGTACCTCTCATACATACGCACAACTATTGGCAGGTTAACAACAACGCGTGTGTGCTCGTGGGTCATTGGCAGGTTAACAACAACGCGTGTGTGCTCGTGGGTCATTGGCAGGTTAACATACTTGTCAATGACCCACGAGCACACACGAGCCGCAACTTGTTTCACTTACGGGGCATCTCAATCAACCTTTATCTCATGCACATTCATCGAGGTGCCTCAGAAGCAGAGGCTCAGAATAAGCAAGTGGGTGAGTATGAGCTGCTCAGATGCAGCGGGTGACTCACAGGATGAGGAGGGAGGTGAGGGTGGAGATGGAGGGGGGGATATGGCCCGTGAGGTTGTTGCCTGCTAGGAACCTGATGGCCGGGCACGGATGGGAAGCAGCATTCCTTGCGAACAGCAGTAGTGCATATGCATCTGCAGAAGAAGATATGCACGCGAGGCACAATGCGATTGCTTTGTGCTGTCGGTGGCGGTGGCCATGCACTGAGCATATCTTCTTCTGCAGTGGACGTGCATATCTTCTTCGGTGGCGGTGGCGGTGGCTTTGTGCTGTCGGTGGCACAAGACGATAAGCTACCTCACCTGCACGGCAGTGGCCGCATGGCAGTGGGCACACTACACAGTTCATGTAATAAAGCCGTCTAGAGACACACCGGTCATGGCGTGACAAGGCTACCCTACCCCTATCTACCCGTTGCACACACACAGCAACGACCGTACAGAGCATAGAGAGACGTGTTCCAGCGAGGGAAGTCCGGTAGAGACCCTGCAAGCCCGTTGCCAGAGAAAGCTACACCTACCCACACCCACACCAGTGGCCATACAGCGACCGTACAGAGCAGTGAGAGACGTGTTCCAGCGAGAGAAGTCCGGTAGAGACCCTGCAATCCCGTTGCCCTCTAGGTGCCTGCAGGGGCGCGCAGGCATGGCAGCAGAGGAGGGGTTTGCATTGGCGCCCGGGCTCGATGCAGCGGTGAGAGAAAGACGCGGCTCAAGTGTGGCGCATGGTCCACCCTGTGGCGCATGGTCCACCCTGTGGCGCATGGTCCACCCTGTGGCGCATGGTCCACCCTGTGGTGCATGGTCCACCCTGTGGCGCATGGTCCACCCTGTGGCGCATGGTCCACCCTGTGGCGCATGGTCCACCCTGTGGTGCATGGTCCACCCTGTGGCGCATGGTCCACCCTGTGGCGCATGGTCCACCCTGTGGTGCATGGTCCACCCTGTGGCGCATGGTCCACCCTGTGGCGCATGGTCCACCCTGTGGTGCATGGTCCACCCTGTGGCGCATGGTCCACCCTGTGGCGCATGGTCCACCCTGTGGCGCATGGTCCACCCTGTGGCGCATGGTCCACCCTGTGGCGCATGGTCCACCCTGTGGCGCATGGTCCACCCTGTGGCGCATGGTCCACCCTGTGGCGCATGGTCCACCCTGTGGCACATGGTCCACCCTGTGGCGCATAGCTGGTGCAATGCAGCCCACAGTTGTTCCAGGGATGCTGAGGTTTGAAGGGCGGACTGTTATACATGATCCAGCGAGCAGCAGTGGAGGAGAAAGTTTAGCAAAGGAGAAAACAGGTGTTGTAGTAAATCCTAGCTAATTCGCGTAGGGTTTTGTAAGAACGAAGCTCTTCACTAAGCAGTGGCTAAAACACAGACAAACATGTTTCGGCTGTAGGGAAGCCCCTAGCAAGCCTTCATCAGTGCCGAATCCACCACCCTGTGGCCCATAGCTGGTGCAATGCGGCGTACAGTTGTTCCAGGGAAGCTGAGGTTTGAAGGGCGGAGGGCAGGGCGCCGGAGAGCAGGTTGCGCGACGCCATGCTGCCCACACACACGCACAGAGATCCAATCTATTCTCCATCCGGAAATCTCAGAGCATCAAGAGATGGTAGTCACAGTGCGTTTCCGCCAGGAAAATGTTCCAGAGCAGTAAAGAAAGGACATGAGATTCTTGCGAGCCAGCAAAACATTGCTCATGCTATCTCCTGGGCTCCAATTTAAAGCTTTCGGATATATGCTTCTGGAAAATGGCTTGAGAGTTGAGGCTCACAGGGTGCGGAGAGATGTGAGGGAGAAGAGAGCGTCTGGGATGCTGCCATGAAAACGGTTGTCGCTCACCTCCCTGCATGCCGTGTGGCACAGTAGGGCAGAGCAGAGCAGAGCAGTGACAGAAGAGTCGGCAGAGACAGCAGAAGCAGCAGATGCAGGCACCCATTTACACGCGACCCTTCTTTTGAGTCGACTCAAAAGGCAGCAGATGCAGGCACCCATTTACATGCGACCCTTCGACTTTGGAGCAGGGGCGTGGGCATGCCAGTGATATGAGTAGAAGGGCGGGAGAGTATGATGGATGTGGGGAGAGCATGGGGGATGAACAGGGCAATGAAGGTACGGAGTTAGTTACTACCCAAGGACTTGACGCACTAAATCTTAAACCCAAGGCATTGTGGACTCACAGGTCGTTGAGGTTAACCAGGGTAGACACTCCCAGTGGAATCGAACCCGAAAGTCCATTGCCCTGCAAGCCACTGCGGGAGGGAGGGAGGGACGGACGGACGGAGGCAGGAGTGGAGACAGGAGGAGGAACACGGCTGAGAAGCTTTGCTGTGCCGTGAGGCCGGGGAGCAAGCAAAGTACTGCAAGGCGAGTGCATGCTAGTTGGGGCTGAAGGCATACAGCATGGCGAGACAACTGCAGACCGGCAGAGCAGCAGCGCATGTCATCAGCATGGAATGGCCAGGCTTGAGCACATCAGCATGGGCACAGCACCGCCACATAATCTCTGCCACATCAGCACCACCACATCAGCACCACCACATCAGCACTGCCACATCAGCATGGCCATGTCAGCATGGGATGACATACAGAGCGACGAGGCTGGTGAGGGCAAGGACAACAGCGGGGAAGCTTCCTGAGAACTGGTTCTCGCCCAACTCGCTGATAGGGAGGGAATCATCCAGCCAACGCAAGGGGTGCGTGCTGCGATCAGTCAATCGTTTAGGCCCCCCCCACAAATGAAGGGAGCAAAGGAAGGGAGAATTGCGTGCGGGGAGAGGGAAGGTGCGCAAATGCAAGGGTGGCAGTGCAAGGGAGAATGTGGGATTGCGAAAGGGAAGAGGGGGGGGGGGGTGGGAAGGCAGTGAGGAGGTTGAGCGGTGAGGGGCAGTGACTCACAGGAACTGGAGGGCGGTGAGGGATGAGAGGGAGGCGGGCACAGTCCCTGAGAAGTTGTTGCTCTTTAAGTTGCTGCCGGGCATGCGGGACGAGGCTAGTAAGGTTGTGCCGCGCCATGGCGTGGGGCAAAGCTTGGCAAGGGTTGAGGTGCCCACACCCACATCACTACCAAGTTTGGGCCATGATGGTGAGGTGAGGTGATTGACACAAGGGAGGACGAGCTGAAACAAGGGACCTGGCTTCGTGTGCACATGGAATGCAAGAACGGTATGTCGTTCTGGGGTGCCAGCGCGGTAGCATATTTTCTTACAGCATGGCGAGCCATGGCATGTCCGAAACAACATCGAGTCCGCTGTTGAGCTTATTTCCACCCAGGGACCTGCATGGATTGTAGACAGTGGGTTAAGATCACATCACATACACGGAGAATCGCTTGGGGTGCACGGTGTGGGATGCATGGTGAGAAAAACGCCTGTGATGTGAGCAGGAATCGAGTCATAAGCCATCTGACGGCTGTCAATTTAACTCAACTCGGTGCGTCATGAGTTGCTTGACTTTGAGTTAAATCTATACTTGGTACAATTGAGGCTCCTTCAGATCCTGTCAGCTCTGATCACGTATCGCTCACTTACAGCTCACGCATATACACCAGTCCAGTGAAGGTGCGAGGGATGCCTCCCACAAGTAGGTTGTTCCTTAACTCCCTGAAAAAACATGCAGTGAGGAAATTGCTCCATAAAAGGGTGTGACACATCATAAAACTCGGGGAAGTGCAGAAAGAAGAGCATTGCGAGATTTTTAGGATCTTGCAGCCACTGGCCATAATTCATGCAGATTATTGCCTGAATTACAGCTTCATGAGATTGAGCAGGGCTGCCCTCCTTACCCCTTGTGAGCATCCACGTGACTCACAGCTCCATGAGGTTAGGCAGTGATCCCAGGAAGTCCGGAATGGGTCCGCTAAATTGGTTGTTGCCAAGGTTGCTGAGCGAAGGGGAGTGGAAACAGAGCACATTCGAGATACGCGTGAGTGAGACATGACCACAGGTTTATATGTGCGGCTAGCGCGTGGCTCAACACAAACACGACCACAGCCGCCCAGCAGGGCTAAAAACGGTCCAGAACGCGGCATATGAGTGAGGAATGACTCAAGCTGGGCGTACAGAGTCTCTAAGTTGGACGAGAAAACTTGAGGAAGCGTCCCTGAGAGCCTGTTGGTGTTGAGGTTGCTGGGTGCAGGGGTGATGGACAGAGCAGTGTGATGTGAGCAAGATGGCCTTCGATTCACTGAGTTGTAGAGCTGTGAGGAGGACCTCCTGTGGAGAAAACAAGGTGCTTGTCATTTAAATAAGGTGCAGAGAGACAATAGAGTGCTCGTGTGGGACTTGAATGGTATGCTGGGATGAGGTGAATGGGTGGGCAGCAGCACTCACAGGTAGGTAAGGGCTTTAAGAACGGAGTAGCTGCCTGGAATGGAGCCTTCCAGCTTGTTCCCTTGCAGATCGCTGAGAGAGAATTGAGTTAAATGAGAGGTGGTGGGAGGGCAGGGCGACAGTGCAGAACTGCTCTTGAGGTGCCTTACAGATTTCTGAGAGAGAGCAGAGAGAAGCAAGGTACGGGACAGGGCAAGTGTCGAGTTGTCTCATATCAAAACATTTCAGATATCTGGGGAGGAAAGGTGTAAAAAGGGAGGCGCAGGAAGGGCGGTGTGGCGAGCAAGCGGAACGAGGAAGGACTGAGGAATCAGACCCAGAATCACTCACAGGCGTTCCAGTGCAGTGAGTCTGCTCCACGTCTCTGGGAGGAAGCCCGACAGGCCGTTGCCGACAGCAAGACTGCAGGAAGAGAGGCAATGCAGGGTGTGGAATGAGAAGCTAAGATATCACTCATGGCCACATGCCTAGACGGTAGTGCAGTCAAAGGAAGCTCACTGCTTGAGCAGCACTGGGCACTGACAAGGTGCGGCACTGACTGACAAGGTGCGGCACTGACTGACAAGGTGCGGCACTGACTGACAAGGTGCGGCACTGACTGACAAGGTGCGGCACTGACTGACAAGGTGCGGCACTGACTGACAAGGTGCAGCACTGACTGACAAGGTGCGGCACTGACTGACAAGGTGCGGCACTGACTGACAAGGTGCGGCACTGACTGACAAGGTGCGGCACTGACTGACAAGGTGCGGCACTGACTGACAAGGTGCGGCACTGACTGACAAGGTGCGGAGGCCGGTGAGCCTGTCAAGGTCGCGGGGAATGTAGCCCCAGCGCTGCTCGTACTGGTGCAACACGTCTCTGCCAGGGCGGGAGGGTGCCAGGCCAGGAATGGTGCGCGCACAGGAGGGATCTTTGACAGTTTCAAAACATTCCAATTCAGACATGAAAATTATTACTGGCCAATAAAAATGAGAAATTTCTACTGAGATGCGGGGAGGCATGTGATTGCTCCTTGTTGAACAGGGCCTGTTTGTGTGCTCTGCTGAGCGCTCACATGTACTGGAGGCGGGTGAGGTCAACAATCCAGGTTGGGAAGTCGGAAAAGTAGTTGTAAGACAGGTCCCTGGCGGTGTAGAGGGGTTGAGATCGGTGCCCGGTGGGGAAGTGGGAGAAGAGGGCGCGGTTGGTGAAGAGGAGTGTGTTGGGGAAGGGGTTGGCGAAGTTGCAAGACACATTCCTGAAGTAGGTGCTGGTTGGGAGCGTCTCAGTGCGGTGCAAGGAGGTGAGAAGCGGTGAAAAGAGGATAGATACCCCTCAGACCAGGAGCAGCACAGCAGCACACAAGGAGGCAAAATGCACGTTGAGAGGTGCAGGGGGGTCCAGTGCGGTGATTACAGGTGGGTGAGCTGAGTGAGGAAGCCGAGTTGATAGGGCAGCTCCCCTACCACTCTGCCCAGGTCCCCTAGCACACTGATGGCGAAATAAGTGGGTTACAAATCAGTGGGTTACAACCAGAGGGCAGAAAATAGCAGATTGGGATGCATGAGATCAGTAGCAATGGAATTGAGGATGGATCCGAGGACATATAGAGAAACGCATTGAGAAAATTAAGGTGGACTTTAGCAAGCAAGCGAGCGACACTCACAGCTTGTACAGGCGGGTGAGTGTAGAGAGGCCGCTGAGAGCAGTCAGTCATGTGGCCGTCTGTCATGACATCGAAGCCAAACAGCTCCAGCGTGTGCAGGCGGGTGGGGTGCGACACAAAGGTGAGAGAGAGTGGTGGTGACTGGTGAGGGCACTCACAGCTTCTGCAGGCGGGTGAGGGTGGAGAGGCCGCTGAGGGAGGTCATGTGGCCGTCTGTCATGGCGTCGAATCCAAAGAGCTCCAGCGTGTGCAGGCGGGTTAGGTGAGACACAAAGGTGAGCGTGGTGATGGAGCCTCCCACCTGGCCGCCCTGCAGGTGAATGTTCCTGGGGGATTGGTGGTGGTGGTGGGTGCAGTGTCACGTGTAGTATGGTGTGGTGCAGTGGGTAAACAAGAAGAGGGGGTGAGGAGGGACACGAAGGTGAGTGTGGTGATGGAGCCTCCCACCTGGCCGCCTTGCAGGTGAATGTTTCTGGGCGGTGGTGGGTGTGGTGGGTAGTGGAGGTTGATGAGAGACGTAGCAGGAACTTTCACAGAGGGGGTGATGGCGGTGATGGGGGTGATGGGGGTGATGGCGGTGATGGGGGTGATGGCGGTGATGGGGGTGATGGGGGTGATGGGGGTGATGGCGGTGATGGGGGTGATGGGGGTGATGGGGGGTGATGGGGGTGATGGGGGTTATGGGGGTGATGGGGGTGATGGGGGTTATGGGGGTGAGGCGTGGAAACGGGACCCACAGGTGGGAGAGCTTGGACAGTGCAGATAACGTGGACGGCAGCTGTCCTGATAAGGATGTGTATGCGAGTTCCCTGTGGGATAGATTGGGGGAGCAGGGCAGAGGATTATGGAAACAGGATAAAACGGGATGCAGGGAAGCAGGGGCAAGGAAGCAGGGGCAAGGAAGCAGGGGCAAGGAAGCAGGGGCAAGGAAGCAGGGGCAAGGAAGCAGGGGCAAGGAAGCAGGGGCAAGGAAGCAGGGGCAAGGAAGCAGGGGCAAGGAAGCAGGGGCAAGGAAGCAGGGGCAAGGGAGCAAAGACATGGTGCAGCATGGAAGAATTGCGTGGCACTCACAGGTGCTGGAGGTTGGTGAGGCTGGAGAAGGTGGAGGGAATAGGTCCGGATACTTGAGTGGCCGAAATGTCACTGGTGCAAGGGTATACCACGCCACACCACGTCACACCGTGTCACACCATACCACACCATGCAAAACCACGCCAAAACACAGCGACATGCACATAAAAGAAGAAAGGGAGCACAGTGAGAGGACTACAAGCCCCATAGAAAAGCTCTGGAACTGTTGACGGAATGGAAGGCGAAGCAGTTAAGAGGCGGCAGATGAGCGAGAGGCATGGATGGGAGTGAGCAGGGGGAAGGAATAGAGGAGGAGGCAGGCAGAGGCAACTCCCAGGCAGATGCGCCACGCCAGGCGTATTCACTCTTGCTCTCTGGGCATTCAGAGCAGGTATGTGCCAGGTTAGCCTGGTTCCTACTGGTAAGCCAGGTGGCACCTCAAGAAGCGGAGGCACACAGAGGTAGTTTACAGATAAGCCAGGTTGGTGAGGGTGGAGAGAGTGTTGGGCAAGGCGCCGGACACAGCTGTGTATGAGAGGTCCCTGCCATGGGCGAGCGGGCACAGCGAGAGAGAGGGCGCAAGTAAGGGGGGCCCTTAGCAGGGTTCACGACAAGCATGGAGGGTAGAGGTTGGGGTAGGACTGAATGGTTGGATTGGGGAGAGGGGGTGAGGATGGAAGTGATGAGCGCTTATGGGACTGGTCAACGAAGGAGAGGTGGGCAGCGGAGGCCTTATGGGCATCACATTGCTTGCGGCCATGCAGACTCAGTCTGGTTAGCTTGGGGCAGATGCAGCTTGGGGCAGATGCAGCTTGGGGCAGATGCAGCTGGGTGGGGGGGGGGGATGGCATGCGGTGCCGTGCCTCCCGGTGCCGTGTGGTGCGGTGCGATGCCGAGCCGTGCAATGCGGTGCCGTGCAGTGCCGTGCAGCGTGGTGTGGTGCCGTACGGTGCGGTGCGGTGCAGTGCAGTGCAGTGCCATGCGGTGCGTCGCAAGGTCTCTTACAGGAAGGCCTTTTACACCACTGCAAGGTGACTTACAGGAAAGCAAGGGCTGGTGGGAGGGTGACGGCATGCAGCTTTCCCTGGACTTGAGGGCTGTTGGCCAGGCTCCTGACGGGGGAGGGGAACCACCAGTCCACACGCACATATGTGGCATGCAGGGAATGCAGGCAGGACTTACACAGGGGCGTGTGCAGGCACACCCGTGAGTGGTTTCATACACAGTACGTGACTTACTCGCATGCGGTACATATACAGGTATAATAAGCACGTACAAGCACGTACATGCATGTACAGGCACGTACAGGCACGTACAGGTATGTGAGGCGCCATAGCTGGGTGAGTGCATAAGGAGGCAGTGAGCCTGACAACGTCCCACTTGCGACAGGTCCCTGTAGCAGAGCCACGGGGGGGAAAGCACGAGCCCAGCAGGCAAGAATCCGGAGGGGCGAGAGGCAGGGGGGCAACAGCTATAACACCTCGCTACCCACTGGGTCAAAACGAGGGTGTTATTTGGCGCAGCGGATTGCCCTTAACACTAGCCCACAGGCGTTACACTCGTCCCCTCCTGGCGCCAACGTCCCCGTTGGCTCTCTACTTCAGGGAGTCGGCCCCCCGCAGGGACCTATTCGCTGTGTTCCAAGCAGCGACTTCGCTGGGTGAAGTCAGCGGAGGATCGTTCGCTGGGTTCGAGCTGGTTCCAACCACACGTCAGTTCTCGCCAAAGGCGGAGAGTGTGGTCCAGACAAGATTCGAGCCCTAGGCTCTGATACCAGTATAACACCTTGCTACCCACTGGGTCAAAACGAGGGTGTTATTTGGCGCATCGGACTGCCCTTAAGACTAGCCCACAGGCGTTACAACAGCCCAGGGGGAGAAACGGAGGTATGGAGTGAAAGAGGTCAGGAAGAGATATGGGCTGGCTCGGCACACATAAGCATGTGTGTATCGCTCACACACAGATTGTTGAGGCTTGTGACCCGCGGGGTGCTACCTTGTGTGACCTCAGAGACTGCAGACAAGTCATTCCCAGGGGACTCACTCCCAGGCGACTCTTTCACAGACGACTCTTTCTCAAAAGTGACTCAAACTTCTTTTTCTCTCAAAGGTGACTTACAAACGGGTGACGAAGCCTCGAGCGTCGCATGTGACTCCAGCCCAGTGGTTGCAGGAGAGCGAGTGGGTTGCTGTTGCTCGGCCATGCCCTCACAGCACGGTTGATGGCTAGCAGCGCACGCACTGAGAGAGGTGGAGTGCGGTGAAGGGAGATGGAGGGAGGTGGAAGACGGTGCATCAGCGAGCAGGTGAAGTGGATTTTGCGAGAGTGCATATGGAGAGAGGAGAGGGACGGAAAGCAGCGGAGAAGGCTGGGGTGGAACACGCAAGACACCAGGGGAATGACATTCAGATGAATGACATCTGATCTGAGGATATGACATTTTGGAAAAAATAACCAAGGGAATGACGCTTAGGAGAAAGACATTTGAGGGAGGCGGCTAGGAAAGTAGGGGATGAGCTGAGGTAGAAATGCGCCGATGTCAGGCTTCAGGGCAATGCCTGGGAGTCCATCAATACTAGATTCCAGACGCCTGACCTGAGAGCTTCTATACGTTTTTGTTTGCCTGTCATGTGTTAGGCGTCTTGCCTCTACAGCAATACCAGCGATAAAATCCATGTCAGATGCGGATAATGGGGATAAGTGGAGAAAATGGGGACAACGGATGGGCCTCACGTTGCGACGGAGCGAGGGGAATCGATCCGCGAGGAACGGCGAGGGAGATCTCGAGGAGGCCATGGCGGTGACCAACGTTCTGGACGTTATACGCGATATTAGCTGCACCGCCGTGCGTATAGTTCAGCGCTAGGGCCAATGCAATGTCTAGAAACAACAGGACGCTTACGGCAGCGAAAGTCATCCGATGATGTTCCTTACAGACGTCTCTCATAAAAGATTAGGATGCGGAAGCTCTAATCGATTCAAATAACGTTCTACCGACAGCCTTCCAGCAAGTACTACTCAACCTAGATTCCGTCGAACGAAAAATGCCAGACTACTAAATAGCTGCTACTCCGCACGTTTCAAGCGACGACTGCAGCCACTTGGAAAAGCCAGGCTAGTAGTGATCGCTGACGATCCTTATCGCCTAACCTGATACGCAACTCTTGGCGTCGGCGGGAATACGCACGAAGCAGGAAATGCTAAGAGCAGTTGGGAGAAACATACGACTATGTTAGTAACCTCGACTGGGAGGAGATTCATCAACGTTGGAATTTGTGCTTGTGATTGGATGGGAATGTCGGTTGCATAGGCTTTGATTTTCTTATGCGGTGGAGTCGCGAAAGTCAACTCCATGCTGTGTTGTCAGACAGTCTGCCACCGATGTACGCGGTGTTGAACGCCGCACTTACTCTTAATGTAGATAAGGTGCTGAAATTGACACGATACTGCAGTTGTATGTCTGGGCTAAGAATGACTAGGATGGAGTTGGGGGTGAACCTATCTTCCATTTCTGTTAGAGAATGTTGCCAGCACGCACAATGCACTACGCAGGCCAGGTAACAGATCGAGAGGAAAAAAATATATTGGTGGCATTGAAGGCTAGCCAGCCATATGGCAACAGCTAGCAGGTCACTCCACTTCTGCCAGATAGTCATTCACTTCAGCTGGGGTTAGCACTCTGTCATTGCAACAGAGCACGTACACAGGAAGACGTACACAAAACAAAAAAAGGGGTTCAGGTGACAAGACAGGATCAAAATTAAGTCCAGGAAAGCAAATACTTCCATCTCGCCGCGAGATGCAGGGTAACATACCCCTTCTTTCGCTCACTCTCGCACTCACCTGAACTTCTTGTCGCTGCCCACAATACCAATCTCAATGTTGTCGCCTGCAATTTGCCCCTCAAACCTGGTGAGAGAGTGCAACATGGGAGGGGGAGGAAGAGGGATTAAGAGCTGAGGATGACAGACCCAACAACAGCCAGACAGCAGAATCAACCAAGAACTTCCTTAAAGTCAAGAGGCATAGTGCTTCACAAGACGACACTCTTTCCCAGCACAGCTACAAAGAACCTTCCATTCCGTGAGAGTAAGAGGGGCCACACGTACCCTTCTTTGAGAGTGAGAATGGCCGTGTGAATCGCATCCTCTAGCTCCATGTCCTCTGTATACCTGATACAGGCATGTACACCCCATACAAGCACACCCCATACAAGCACACCCCATACAAACACACCCCATACAAGCACACTCCATATAAGCACACCGCCATATAAGAACAACCCACGAACTGTTAGTCATTCACAAAAAAAAACAAAATCAGAACGCATTTTCAAGCACCAGCAACCGTCTGGGTTGAAAGGCAAAGTCGAAAACTATTACTCTTCCCCTTTCTGACCTCTTCTCAAGAAACGTCTTGGCGTTGGTCATGTTCTTGCCAATGGCGGAGGCCTTCCATGCGAAGTAGGAACCCGAGGGATCCACCTGGTACAGGTGCGGGCCCTGTGAGTCATACCCCGCCATCAACAGCGACACACCGAACGGCCTCACCCCCCTGTCACAATGCATGGTGCATGTGGGTACGGTACATGTGTCAAGTGGGTATGGCGCACATGCAAGAACGGAGAGAGAAGAACAAGTGAGAGGTTGAGAGAGGTTGACAGAGGTTGAGACATGAGAGATGCCTCATGCAGCATGCTCAGTGATTATCTCTGCCTTTGCTCCTCCTCACGTACACTAGGCATGTTCCACAGGTTCAGGTTCAAACACTTTCAGACCCAGACTTGTCAACAACTGTAGCACCTGCCATTGTGAAATTACAACTTCACCTGACCGCATAGAACCCCCTGTCTCACCCAGATTGATTGAACCCCGGCATGACAGGCGATGTTTCCACCACTAACTGACTGCAAAACTAATGACTTTTTTCAGACGTCCAGATTGACTTTTTCCAATCCAACAACACAGATTGACTTGCAACAACACAGATTGACTTGCAACAACACAGATTGACTTGCAACAACACAGATTGACTTGCAACAACACAGATTGACTTGCAACAACAAAGATTGACTTGCAACAACACAGATTGACTTGCAACAACACAGATTGACTTGCAACAACACAGATTGACTTGCAACAACACAGATTGACTTGCAACAACACAGATTGACTTGCAACAACACAGATTGACTTGCAACAACACAGATTGACTTGCAACAACACAGATTGACTTGCAACAACACAGATTGACTTGCAACAACACAGATTGACTTGCAACAACACAGATTGACTTGCAGGTGGCCGTGCCTCACCCTGACTGAGTGAACTCCTGCATGACCGCCGCTGTCTCCCGCACCAGCTGCGACACTGGAATGCCCTCCTGCCACATGCATGGGGGGGGGTCACGTGAGCATGAGAGGGGGTGAGGAGGAGGAGCACGACGATGGGCATGTGTGGCACGGCGATGGGCATGTGTGGCACGGCGATGGGCATGTGTGGCACGGCGATGGGCATGTGTGGCACGGCGATGGGCATGTGTGGCACGGGGATGGGCACGTGTGGCACGGGGATGGGCATGTGTGGCACGGCGATGGGCATGTGTGGCACGGGGATGGGCACGTGTGGCACGGGGATGGGCATGTGTGGCACGGCGATGGGCATGTGTGGCACGGCACGTGGTGGTGAGCACCAGCTGTGACGGCGGAATGCCCTCCTGCCACATGAATGCACAGCGTGGTGCCACGAGGGCGCGTGAGGGACAGGGTGGGCTGGGGATGGGCATGAGCATGCGTGGTGGTGCACTTGGGAGGAGGCGTGGCAGAGGGCTGGGAGATAGGACCAAAAAAAAGGGTTGGGGGGAGCAATGTGAAAAGCATATTATGCTTATTACGGGCGTCACCCTGTACTCGCTATAGCATGACTCACCTTGTACACACTGTAGTAGGACTGTGCTGACTTGCGGCTCTTCCTCACTAGCACCCGAGAGTCAGGCCCGATGCCACTGGCGGTGGAGAGAGCAGAGGGAGACAACGGAAAATTTTGGGAGGTGTTGTGGTTTCCTAATCAAGGCCAAAATCACTTCATGTTCACATGCGAGTGAGGCCGTTTGTGGGGTACATGGGTGCATGGGCACAAGAGGTTGAGCCAGGACAGGACTGTGTTGGTGGGTTGGGAGAGAGACGCACACCTGTAGACAACTCCCGAGTTGTCCGTGAGCAGTTGAATCTTCTTCACCTGAAACACGCTCACATGAGTGAACACCACAACAGTCACACCAGTCATTCCACAATGAACTACCAGTGCCTGTGAATCAACCTAGAAGTTGCCTGGGCGCAAGAAAGAGGCGTACCGAGGTCTCGTCTATGAGCTCTGTAGGAAGCTTCTTCTCCGTGGCAATCACCACGCCATTGGTCGCTGCAACGGTGGGATGCGGGAACGGAAATATGAAATTGCGGCGTGAGCAAGCAAGGGGGGTGAGCGGGGAAAATCAAGTCATGAGTGGCCTTGCGTTACAATAAATCCTTCGACTCAGAAACGGCTCGTGATGACTTCTGTAGCGAGTATGACAGTGTTGGAGGCCTGAGCGGACGGAACGGTACGCACCTTTGATGCCGAGCGACGTGGCACCGGCAGCCACGGCGTTGAGTGCATACTCGATCTGCACCGAGCTTCCCTGACGGGCTGCATACGACGAGGAGATGGGGGAGGTGGACGAGAATTAGGTCAGGAACGGAACTGGCAGCGACCCGTTAGAAAACCTGGAAAGTCTGACTGCAAGTTCATGTCGACAGAATCGCAGTAGAGAGGAGGGAAAGACGGGAGCACGGAGGATGAGGTATGCGGAATTATCACCTGAAGGTGGTGAGGGAGAAGGAGTATTGACTATCGCCCATGACGTCGCCGGATCTGCGACAGCTCGATGCGACTTAGATGCGACTGAATTCGAATTCAACGCGAATGCGACGCAAAGGAAATGGAGCGACGGAATACGGTATCGCCTAAGTGACCGAGAGAAATCGACGATAGCACCGGCGCGATGGATGTCTGTCGGACAACACACGGGCGTCACTTGGCGAGCCTATCACGCCGTCGATCTGAGGAATGAGAGCTGAATGTGGGACTACAGCGGTAGAGGAATGGGATTCTGCAGATGGCTGCTTCACGATGCAAGCACCTCCTGACAAATATGGTGTCACAGGGATGTTTCACTTTGTGTTTGAGGAGTTGGGTTGAGTGCAATGCCGTGCAATTTGAAGCGGTGATGCATTCACCGTTCTGAACCGCTGGCGTCTATCTGTCCCTCACGAGGTCTCAAAGGACTTGGATCAACTCCCAGAAGTCTGTACGAGTTTCAGTGGACACAACCAGGTTAATGTAACTTATCGAGCCTCCAATAACGGATCCGTCTGAGAATTTCATTAGTCATCAATAACGGGGCAAGCTAGGCGCCAACTAGGGATTTCCGCTTCCCCCTGTAGCAACTAATTTGTCTATGCTCTTACCTTTTCTCAGCCGCCGCTTCAGGAACTCCCCGTCAGCTGCGCCGTGTTTACCGCTCAGAATCGTTGTAGAAATCACGAACGTGGTAGGCGGCATGAAGTGGGCGAATCTCGAGCCGTTGATTTCCGCGATTCGTGCATTCGTCCCCGAGCTCGCGTCGGCGAAACACAAAGGCCAAGCAGGTGAGCCACTCGCATTCAGGTCGCTTTTCCCGCCTCGCAACGCAACCTCTCACATGCGGTTTCTATTGCTGATCCCGCCTAGTGGCGTGGCCAGGCGGTCCCATACGAAAATCATGCCGCTCCGCATCTCTGCGTCTCCGCACCTCTCGTTACAGGCAAGATCGCTGTGATCGGAGGATGTCGCGAGTACACGGGAGCTCCCTTCTTTGCCGCCTTTTCCGCGCTCAAGCTGGTGAGCGCCTCTCACGCCCTGCTGCAGGCTTTACTTACAGCCATACTCACAAATAGGCACTAACAGTAAGTTTCCGTGCAGCTGGTGGGCCAGTC